TTAGAAGAATGAATGTTTTAGGGCATAGATCATGTATCTCAATCTGTTGAAGGACCTACCAGCTCATAAGAGCACCGGCTACGTACGCTGTGTTTATAGGGTAATCTTGTCCACTCATGCCTACGTACGTTGCATGTATAGGGTAATCTTGTTCACTCATACACATCCATTTTTGCATACATTAGTTATTTCATTTGAACATAAAGTTTGTACATTTTTGAATTAGGAATATTTGTAAAGTTCGGGTTGAGGAAGCTCCATTTTGTTTGGAGCTTTTCCTTCTTGATGATGGTGTCAACTTAGCAATTCCATTACTGTAACATATTAGTTTGTTCTAATGAATACTTCTTTCTAAACAAAATTAGTCATCAGTGATTAGGATAGGATTAGGATTATATCAAATGTTCCCTCACTTTAGGACTAGTCTCAATTGCGAGGATTGTTAATATATTGCTTTTATCTTTGCTTTTTTTTTTTTTTTTTCAGAGAGTTGACTTGGAACATCTGCTGATATTCATAGCATCTCGTGCTCACTTTTGGGGCACATAGCTAGAGTATGATGCTTATCAGTCCAAAAGATTGCTAGTCACAACCGTAGTATTACGCAACCTACAAGAATTTTATTCTTTGGTACGGTTTTCTTTTATTCTATTTTAATTTCCTTCAATTTTCGTTTTGTTTTCATTCTTTCCTTCAAGCCCGATAAATGGAAACATATTCCATATGCTAAGTTGACACCATATTCCATAAGAAATTTTGACCAAATAAAAAGATGATTCCATATAAACGGAAATTGGTTGAAACATATACTCAATTACCAAAAAAAAATAAAAATAAAAAATTAAATTCCCTTCTTGTAAAGTCCAATATACAGTAAAACCTCTTTTAAGTTATATAGTAAATTGGGACCAAACCAAATTTATAACTTAGGAGGTTATTACTTTATAGAGGTGTAGTTAAAAATAAGAGAAAATAGATTCATATCCTTCTTTTTGCTACTCCATTGATTAAAATCCTATTCATTTTCAATTTTTTATCAAGGTCCTTGGATATTAATAACATCATTAATTATTTGAATAATAATTTTTTAAATATATTCCTTTAGTGTTAAAAATGTTACAATTAGTATATTTATATTTATGGCTAAATTTTTTATCATATATTTTTATTTTTAGTTTGTACCCACTTTTAATTTGCAACATTTTTTTAAATTTGTAGTATTTTCTTTTTAGTTTTATTTTGTACGCATGTATTAATTTCATTTAGTGCCTATATTTTTTAAAAATTCATTTGTACTCATAATTTTTTAATATTTTATCTGTATCCTAATTTATTTATAATATGCCCATTCTTCTTTATTAATGTACCACTTTGTTATATGTGAAATGTACCAATTTTTTTAACACTATGGATACATTCTTTTGCCATTTATTATTTCTCATTTTTACATAGTTTTTATCCATTTATTCAATCAAAATGTTTAAATTTTTTTATTGTAACCGTTTCTAATAGTATTATAATGAGGGATTGTAAATTTATAGGATTATAAATCTCATAAAATATCAAACAATTAATGTCAAAACTATAAAAATATTAATATTAATTGTAATATAATGAGGTGTACAAAGTTAAGGGACTTTGATCAAACTTTGAATAGCATTAAGGTTTTAGTCAAAGAATGTTAAGGATTAGGGACCGTATCCAAAGTATCCCAAAATATTATTTATTGACTTATTTATCTTTTAATGGATGTTGTATTTTCTAAATAGGATTCCTTGGGAGCCAAGTTTTTTTTATTGCATATTTTTGTACTCATTGACAATTATAATGATGTAAAGGTCTGTTTCCTTAACATGGGATGAACAAAAATTATAACTTATTATAATATGGAGTTTATTCTACTACATAGCTGAAATATTATTTGTTAACTTCTAAGCGTGCAATGTGCCACTCTTGCACTCCGCTTCAATTTTCCTTTAAATTATGACACATTGCACACTTGGAAGCCCAAAAACTTTTCTTCAAGGTAATTTTCGTCATAATAAATCAAAATAGCATTTTGGAAAACAATCAATTCCAACTAGGAACACCTATCCCACACTTGGAACACCAATCAAATCTCCTTAATTGGTTCCTGAAAATGTCCTCCGTCCAATGAGTTTTTTATAGTAAAAGTTGGACGTATCCATCTTGTGGAGCCAAAAATATTTACTAGGCGACACGTGGACTTTTGGACAAAAGAGGACAAAAATATCCTTGAGGCATAGCGGGATTCCTACGCGCGAGCAGCGGGCAATCATCTTTCAACCAAGTCAAAAGTGCCCAAAATAGGTAACAATTTAAAACCTATTTCATCAAATCCTTTCTATAAGGTAATTCCCAAAATCTAATTTATTCTATATGTTTTATATTCCATTATTTAGCTAATAAATTAGCTAAATAATATATTCCTTTCATATTTCCTAAAATTGACGAATTAAGGGATTAATTACCTAATCAATCCCTTAATTATCAATTAAACCCCCAAATTATAACCAAAAAACATACCAAAGGCCCGTTACCCACTAGGGCCGGCCATACCCTTTTTGCTACCATTTTCTTTCCCTTTTATGACATTCAATAGCTAGTTAATTAGGTTATTATTATTTGCTAATTAACTAGCCAATTATTTCCATAACTCTCCAAAATAACTAGCCCATTATCTCCATAACCCCCCAAAGTAAATCATCCATGGCCCAAAGGCCAGCCACACCCTTTCTCTCCTATATATTGGTTCCCATTTTCACCAAACACTAATTCCAATTCTCTATAAAAAAAATCCCGAATACTCTAAACACTATTTCTCTCTAAAAAATTCTAACTTTAGCATTAGAGGTTCTTCAGCCAAAGGCCCCCTATTCATCGTGGGCGCGTGAGGCTTTTGGCCTTAACCTAAGGTGCTAGTTGTTTGTAGGTGCAAAATCGTCCAAGATCGAGGAGGAGAAAATTTGCATCCACAAATTGTTGCTTTCATTGAGAGTTGAAATCCACACTCGTAGAAGACTTTCCCACAAAAAGGTTTTTTCTCTATTTTTTAGTCCATTTGAATATTTTTCATACATTCATATTATTAGAATTTTTTACTTGCAAAGGTTCTTTGATAAAACGTATAAGAAAAATATAATGGCCAGAAATTTGGAAAATACCATAAGTGAAAATTCTAATACTCAAGAAATGGGATTGCGGAGATCCACAAGGCAAAATACGGTCATAAATAGAGTGGCACCACCATTACGAGGTTCCACCATGTCCCAAGTCGTGCCATCCAGGTTTGCACGGACCCAAGCCCAAGCCTCGCATGTGCATGCACCACGCACTGAGCAGCTTGCTCCCGTAGCCCAGCCTGCTCCAGTGATCCAGCTAGCTCCCATGATCCAGCCTGCTCCTGCAGCATAGCCTGCTTTCATGGCTTTTTAAGCTGCCCAAGTCAGCCCGAGACTATCTCAACCATCCGGACCAATCATCGAGGCTGGGGCGTTTTCACCATATTTCTCCGCAGATTTGACATTCCCCAACTCAAATCTCGCACTCGGAGTTAACCACCATTCTATTGTTTAAGGAGGTACATTCCATCCAAGTTCTTCCAATCCGAATGGCGAACAAAACTTGTCCCGACAAGTCATAGAATTGACAAGCGCCCTTGCACAACAAACAACTTCGGTGAATCAACTTTTGCAACGCACCGAGATCCAACGTGCCCCAGATGAACTATCCCGAAGTAGGACAAGGGCAGACGAGGAACCTCTCAAACAGTGTCACGGAAATCAGCTGCTCAACCAACCACAAATCGAGCATTCAGGCAGTGCACACTTTTGATTGGGCCCCCGAGATAACGTATACTCCCGTCTTAGTGCGCAGAGGAGCGTGCATTCCCGACTAGGTCCACAGGCAAGTATACATTCACGGTTAGGGCCACACTTTGGTAATCAACATGGGCAGCCTTCCAGGCAAAGCATTCATTAACGGTTAGGCCCGCAAGGAGTATCCTCCACATCACATCGGAGCAGGCAGCCTAACAAACGGAAGGAAACAACCGTTCAATCTGGCTCTAGTTCAACCAGTAGCCTGTAAAGAAATCCTCGCCTGCTAGGAATCTATCACATACATCGTAGCCACGACATAGACGAGCCGAGTGTGTAGAAAAGCATCATAGACCGACAAGTAAAGACCAGGGGCAGCCAAAGGCTCCGCTACCCCAACAAAGGCAAATCTAAGAAGAGGTAGAAAGGCTTTTCAATGAACAGATGCATGATTTCTAATGCAATGAAATGGTTAATGAAACACTTAGGCGAGATATGACCGACATAAGTAGGTCACCTTTCATGGATGAGATCAAGCAGGTAGAGCCTTCACGCAAGTTTAGCATGCCGTACTTCACATCTTTCAAAGGAGACGGGGATCTAGAAAGACACTTGAAGCATTACTGAAGCGCGATGGTCCTTTATCAGAATAATGACGCCCTTAAGTTCAAAATATTCGCTACTACTTTACAAGGCGAGGCACAAGATTGGTTTCATACCTTGCCGACGCAATCCATTCAGAATTTTGATGATCTTTCCTTGGTTTTCACCAAAGAATACTCATCTTATTGTTTGATCAAGAAAAAGTCCGATCACTTGTCTGACGTAAAGAAAAACCTAAAAGAGTCACTTCGCGATTATGTAAAGAGATTCAAAGCTGAAAAGGCGAAGATCGTTGAATGCGATAACTCGATAGCAAGTGCAACCTTCCAAAAATGACTCCCAGCAGACCACCCACTGTTCGGAGAAATGATCATGAAAGAAGACCTAACTCTAGCAGATTCCTTTGCTCTGGCAGAGAAGCATGCACTTTGGGACGAGGCTCGACAAGCGGAAAAAACGCCCGAACAACCTCGAAAAGAGTCAGCAGCTGCTCAAAGGAAGGAGGATGGAAAGCAGCCCAACAAGGACAGGCAGGAGGTCAAGCACAGGGACCGACCCATGACCAAAGAAGGCCCGATGACCAATGGCTATTCTAAGTTCTCAATTCTGATTCATCAAATCCTTCGTGACATCAAGAACGAACCATGGTTCAAGTTGCCGAAACAATCAAAAGGAGATACTTCTAAGTTGGACCACACCAAGTATTGCGCATTCCACAGAGGTCCTGGCCACATAACCAACGAATGCTACACTTGGAAAAACTACCTAGAGAAGCTCGTGAAAGAAGGCAAAGTCAATAGATACTTGGACAAGCCAGCTGCGCAGCAAAAAAGGAATGTAGACGGAGATGAAAAGCCACCAACCAAGATGATTCGAATCAATGGCATTTTCGCCGAATTCGAGCACTTGGGGGCCACTAATAACTCCAAAAAGAGGAAGATCCGGCAGGCTTTACTAATCTCACAAGTTCAAGCAGTCGATACCCAACTTGGATCTATTATTGGCTTTATTGAGCAGGATGTCGAATGAGTCGATTTCCCACACGACGATACACTAGTGGTATTTGTCCAACTAGCCCATGCTATAGTCAACATGATGATGGTTGACAATGGAAGTGTAGGTAACCTACTTCAACATTCGGTCATTCAAAAGATGGGCCTGGAAAGTACAATCATACGCAGGGCAGAGGTACTTACTGGATTCAACGGACACACCTCAACTGCCATCGGCCATATCACACTTGATGTGAAAACACCGCCAGTCATCTCAAAGCAAACATTCACGATCGTAAATGACCCATCTCCCTACAATGGGATTCTTGGGAGACCTTGGTTGATCAAGTTGGATGCCGTCACTTCCGTCAAGTATCAAAAAATCCGATTCCACATCCAGGGAGGATGAGTCGGAGAGATCAAGTCTGACCAGGCTTCATCCCAACAATGCACTGTGCAAATGTTGAAAGAATCAAAGAAGAAGACCTTTACCCCCATAGAGGTTACCGAAGTCTAAAAGGATAAAGAAACTGCCAAATAGCAATTACAGCAGGTGGATCGAGAAGATGGCGCCCAAGCAGACAAGATATGATGGAAACCCGAAGAGGACACCGAAGACATCTTTCTTGATCCTCAGCAGCCGGAAAAGATGGCTAAAATTGGCTCACGACTAAGCCCAAACGAGAAGGAAGAACTCACAATTTTCCTTAGAAAAAACCGAGATATCTTCGCATGGTCACCATCCGACATGCCCGGTATTGATCCGAAGGTGGCCTGCCACAAGCTGCACGTCGATCTTACTGCCAAACCGGTAAGCTAGAAAAAAAGACATTTCGCACTCGAGCGAGTAGCGACCTTCGAGGTAGAAATCGACAAACTATTGGAGGCCGATTTCATAGAAGAGGAAGCACACTCAGCATGGCTTACTAATGTCGTACTAGTCATGAAGAAAGAGAATGGCAAATGGAAGGTTTGCGTAGACTACACCGACCTCAACAAAGCATGCCCAAAAGATCATTACCCTGTCCCTCGGATTGATCTATTAGTAGATTCAACTTCTGGAAACCAGTTGCTTAGTTTCTTAGACGCATACTCCAGCTACAACCAAATAGCCATGCACGAGCCCGACAAGGGAGAAAACTACGTTTGTGATAGAGCGAGGCACCTACTGCTACAAGGTCATGCCCTTTGGCCTCAAGAACGCGGGAGCCACTTACCAAATGCTAATAAATATGATGTTCAAAAACCAAATTGGGGTAACCATAGAGGTCTATGTTGACGATATCATGGTAAAGGGCAAACAGCAATCAGATCATATTCACAATTTGGCAAAAACTTTCAATATCCTTAGAAGGTACAAGATGAAGCTCAACCCTACCAAATGCACATTTAGAGTATCTTCAAGCCGATTCCTAGGGTACTTAGTAACCCAATGAGGAATTGAAGCACATCCCAAGCAAATCCAAGCTATCCTAGAGATGAAATCTCCAACTACCTTGAAGGAGATCCAAAGCTTGACCGGACGAGCAGCCGCCCTCAACCGCTTCCTCTCACGATCCACGAATCGATGCAAGCCTTTTTTCAAAGCTATCAAGAGGGCACAAAGAGACAAATGGGATGAAGAATGCGAAAAAGCTTTCTAAGACTTGAAGAATTATCTCACATCACCTCCCTTACTATCCAAGCCGAAAGCAGCAGAGGATTTATACATTTATTTAGCAGTCTCCGAAATAGCAGTTAGCTCTGCTCTCATACGAGAAGAGCTGGGGGCCCAACTGCCGGTATTCTACACTTCTAAAGCTCTTCTCGATGCGGAAACAAGATATCCGAAGATGGAAAAATTAATTTTGGCTTTAGTTGTTGCGGCTCAGAAGCTTAAACCATACTTTCAAGCTCATACAGTCATTATCATGACTCAGTATCCCTTACGATCAATGTTACATGGTCCGGACGCTTCTCAATGAGTGATGAAATGGGCATTGGAACTTGGCCAATATTGTTTAGTTTTCTGACCTCGCACAGCGATAAAGGCCTAAGCCTTGGCAAACTTCGTAGTGGAATTCACGCCTAGCCTAGGCAACGCAACAGAGTGGCCCATCGACGCCCCAGAAGCAGCCGAGAGCACCTTAGCCACGCTTGCTCCATCCGATAAGGACTTTTAGAATTTACATGTCGATGAAGCATTCAACTATAAAGGCTCGGGAGTGGGTGTAGTCCTTGTTACTCCAGACGGCTCAATGCTCGAGCAGGCGATCACTCTAGGCTTCAAAGCATCCAATAACGAAGCAGAGTATGAGGCCCTACTAGCAGGCCTCCGAATGGCAAAAGCCTTGGTGGTGAAGAAACTCGCAATTTATTCTGATTCCCAACTAATCACCAGCCAGGCTACTGGGGAATACACAGTAAAACACCTAAGGATTGCACAGTACCTAGAGAAAGTACACCAGCAGCTTGAGGCATTTCAGACTTACACTCTCAAGTTCCGCGGGCAAACAACGCCCATACAAATGCATTAGCTGATTTAGGCTCTGCCCTCGACCACCAGTTTAAAGGCTCTATTCCAGTGGAATATCTAGACAAGCCAAGCATAGAGATGGAGTCGATAGCCGAAGTGTCACAGGTTAGTGTAACTCCCAACTGGCAAAGTTCTATTATAGACTACTTAGTCAGCGGCACACTACCCACCAAAAGATTGGAGTCAAGGAAGCTCCAAATTAAGGCAGCACGCTACTATATGTGGAATGGCATTCTCGTCCGAAGATCCTACACCGGACCACATCTTCTCTGCCTAGCACCTCCCGATGACTTGAAGGTTTTAAGCTCAATCCACGAAGGCGTTTGTGGGAACCACTCTAGAGGTCGATCCTTAGCCCAGAAGGCTCTTAACGCAGGCTACTACTAGCCTACCATGCACCAAGTTGTTAAGAAGTTAGTACAAAAGTGTGATCACTGCCAACGCTACAAACTGGTACCAGCACTGCCTGCCAGTAGCTACACCTGCAGATAAGTTCTTAGCCATTCATGCAATGGGCAATCGACCTGGTAGGGCCTATGCCGCCTGCTACTGAGGGTAGATGCATAATGTTCGTGGCAACCGATTACTTCACCAAATGGGTAGAAGCAGAACCCATGAAGATCACGACTTAGACGAACATAGAGCACTTCATATGGAGGAACATCATTTGCCGATTTGGCATCCCTCAGTCCATCGTCACTGACAATGACCCTCAATTTGTGGGAAAAGATTTGGTGAAGTTCTTCCAAAAATACGACATCAAACAACATATGTCCACGCCAAGATATCCTCAAGGCAATGAGCAGGCTGAAACATCCAACAAGACAATCCTCGACCGCCTTAAGAAATCCCTCACCGACAAAAAAGGGAAATGGCCAGATGAACTCCCTGGATGTTTATGGGCATATCGCACCACCAAAAGATGAGTGACCGGTGAAACTCCTTTCTCTTTAGCATTTGGTTCGGAAGCAATCATTACTCCCAACATCATCGTGCCAAGCATCAACACTCTATTGCCAAGCATTAAGCAGAACAGTAAAGAGATGGCCATAGACTTAGATTTGGCAGAACAGAGGCGCGAACAGACCATCACCAGCATCGCAGCCTACCAGCAGCAACTTATTTCCAGCTACAATAAAAGGGCCAAGATCCGGCAATTTCAACCCAGAGATCTGGTCCTAAGAAAAGCCTTCATCACTGTCCGCAAAGAGGGCTTGAAAAAGATGGATCCCATTTGGGAAGGTCCTTACAAGATTAGCAGAGTAGGCGGCAAGGGTAGCTACACCCTTGCTACCATGAATGATAAAGAGATCCAGAAGCAATGGAACGCCTACAATTTGAGGAAATACCATGTGTGACTTCCTACTATATCAAGACCCGAAAACTCAAGCAGCTCAACGGGCACCAACTCGTAAGCCAAGGACTATCCAATCATCATGCAGTCTTTTGCAGCCAAGTTATTCACTTATTTTGTTTATTTTTCAATAAAGAATTCAGAAGAATTTGTAACTTGGCTCGATTACATGTCTACAACAACTTATCTTTCCCTGCATTTCAAAAAAAGATCGCACCCCCTTTTGGGACTTACTGCAGGAATTGCACCTCTCGAGGGACTAACTATGCTCTCCAAGGTGAGAAGATAAACTCAACACTCCGAATATCCAAACGTGGATGAGTCTGGCTGCCCTAGTATAACTAGGTGCATGATGGCTTGCGCTGGGATTCCTAGAAGTAGCCACAATAGTCTTTTTCAAGGCTTAGCTAGTTGAAGGATTATGGGTCTATTGGTCTAATCCACAGGGAACCGGGCCCTAGAGACTGAGGGAGAACATTACGCAGCACACCCAAAGGACGGCTGCCCTGGAAACTTAAAGCTGCTACCGAGTGCACTAAGGTAGCCTACGGATTTCCAGAAGACTGCCTACGGCTTGCCTTTCAAGCAGTGGAACCACACTAGACTTATACAACTGCACATTCTTGTGAAAGGTTAAACAAGCTAGCGTGCATACACGAAGATTTTATCCACTGCCGACATGCTACGTAGTCGATAAGCTTCGCCTTTGTTAAACGCAAAACAACCTACACCAAGTCCTAAAGTGTTGTGATACTTGCTACATAACCTACGGAATTGGAAAGAACCAAGGTTAAACAGCCTAGTGGTTACGCGGATTCGTTTGCTTTTGTAAGTAAGGCATCCGGCTGCCAACCCTATGGCTAACAGCTTTGCAAAAGTTCTACACCAACACCTACGGCTGCGTAGGCTATACGGGCCTGTCTACTTATAGAAAAGTAGCACGCTTGCTACTGGTCTATAAGGTCTAAAGGTTAGGGCATGGACAAAAAAAGAAGCAAAGATGGGAAAAGCAAAATAAGCAAGCTTATTAAATTTTATAGCAAAATTGATAAACAACTAGCAAATACCGAAGGAGTTCAAGCAAAAGCAACAAAGGAAAACAAAGAAAATCCTAAAGGCTACCTAGGAGACTACTCTTCAATAGATTGGACATCTCACAAACTACTCA